TGTTAATGCACCGAGCTGTGGGGCCACTAATAGCCCCACCCCAGCCCGGCGTCGCTCACCCGCCGCAACTCCAGAGTAAAAGAGCGTCCAGCCCCTTTCCAGGAGATTGGTTCCAGAACCCAAGCTATGCGTTGAGGTGAGCCCGACTATATGTAGTCGATACCTCTCAACCTCACGCACAAGCTCAGGCTCCTTCCCCACCAGAGAGGTGACATTCCATGTCCCGAAAGCCAGTTTTGTCAGCTGGGGATCGGACCGCCAGGGCCTCCCTTGGCCGCTACCCGATCCACAATGCACCGAACCCCTGACATTCCCCTTGCGGGTGGTGGGCCCACCTGGGGACAGTCCCACGTGCCTCTTTCGGGCTGTGCCCGGCCGGGGCCCACGGGCTAAGGCCCGGCCACCAGGCGCTCGCCAACGGGCCCCTCCCCCAGGCCGGGCTCCAGGGTGGGGCCCTGGTGACCCTAGTCCGGGCGAGGGAAACGGGACTTTGTTTTTATACTTTTTCATGGGGTTCTTTTGGATTGCTCTTTGTCTGGCCCCTCCCCTGGGTCCTTTTTGCCTTGGGAGACCCTACCAGGGGCTATTGCCCCCGACAACCTAGCCCCCAGGTTCACGGAGGCACGCAAACCCCTCCACCACGATAAGGTGGCAATCCAAGGTGGCAATAAGGTGGCGTCCACGTCCATTGTGCGCAACATAATCAAGAAATTCACAACACATGGCACTGTAGCTAATCTCACTGGACGTGGACGGAAAAGAAAAATTCATAAAAGACTGCAACAAAGGATAGTTTGAATGGTGGATAAACAGCCCCAATTGATTTCTAAAAAAATTCAAGCTGTTCTGCAAACAGTGTCAGCTTGAACATCTGAACGAAATGAAACGCTATGGTAGGAGACCCAGGAGGACCCCACTGCTGACACAGAAGCATAAAAAAAGCCAGACTGGAGTTTGCCAAAATGTACTTGAGGAAGCTAAAATCCTTCTGGGATTGTGGACAGATGAGACCAAAGTAGAGCTTTTTGGTAAAGCTCATCATTCTACTTTTTACAGAAAACGGAATGAGCCTACAAAGAAAAGAACACAGTACCTACAGTCAAACATGGTGGAGGTTCTAAGATGTTTTGGGGATGTTTTGCTGCCTCTGGCACTGGATGCCTTGACTGTGTGCAAGGCATCATGAAATCTGAAGACTACCAAAAGATTTTGGGGCACAATGTAGGGCCCAGTGTCAGAAACCTGGGTCTGTGTCAGAGGTCATGGGTGTTCCAGCAGTACAATGACCCGAAACATACCTCTAAAAGCACCTAGAAGTGGTTGAAGACAAAGCACTGGAGAGTTCTGAAGTGGTTAGCAATGAGTCTGGATCTAAATTCGATTTAACACTTATGGAGAGATCTCAAAATTACTGTTGGGAGAAGACACCCTTCAAATCTGAGAGACCTTGAGTAGTTTGCAAAAGACGAGTGGTAAAAAATTCCAGTTGAGAGGTGTAACAAGCTTGTTGATGGTTATAGGAAGCGATTGATTTCAGTTATTTTTTCCAAAGGGGTGTGCAACCAAAAATTAAGTTGAGGGTGCCAATAATTTTGTCCAGCCCAGTTTTTGAATTTTGTGTGAAATTATGTCAAATTTGGCCTTTTTTCCTGTTTTTTTGTGTTGTTCCAATGCACATAAAGGAAATAAACATGTGTATACCAAAACATTTGTCATTGTAACAATTTTCTGGGAGAAATGGTGCATTTTCTGGAAAACATCCAGGGGTGCAAATAATTTCGGCCATGACCGTATGTGTGTGTATATGTGTGTATATATATATATATATGTAGGCATGGCAGACATCACCATCCACAGATTGTTTTCAATTTTATTTATAGTCTTAATGGACCTGATAGCCCCCAGATGCCCTGAACAGGATATAATACAACTGAAGTTTGAAAAATCATTACTAGGTCACGTCTCCTAGTATTTTACATCAGATCTTCAGCAACTTTGCATTTATAACTGTACAAAGCATATAGAATGTATAGACAAAGGGAATGGTCAAGCAGAAAACAAATTTCAATGAGAAAAGAGAACAGGTGAATGCTTCTCCATCTATCTTCCAGAGTTCTTACCTTTACAGGGGGTGGGGGTGGGAGATTAAAACCCTGGATGGGATGCCAGTTCACCACTGGGCATGAGCACACTGATGCCCATTCATCTAATGTATGCTTTGGGACTGTGGGAGGAACCCAGGGCAGCTGGAGGAAACACAGGCCAACTTTCAAACTGCACACACACAGAGGACTGTGATCTAAACTCAAAGTGTGGAATCATAAGCTACTCAGCCACTGTGTCACCCTTACAAGCATGTTTATGACACGTGAAAGTGAGAAAGAACTAGACTGAGCCTCAAAACTGCCCTCTACACGCAAATACAAAAGTCAAGACTCAACATATATTCACAAACATTATCATCTCACCCTAATGCACCACATGTTAACTTATCGTGAACATCTGTAATTACTGAGTGGAGGAATTATTATGCACAGCTTACTACTAACATTTCCATTATCAACCAGTGAAATTGTAAGTGATGAACCTGAGCGATGAAGATATTTAACTCTTTGAGTTTGGTTATGTGAAATCATACAAAAAACAAGAATGTACACTGTACAAATGACCTTATAAACACAATGAGACATCCTTAATCCCTGAAAGCGCTGATATCGGATCACTTCCAGATGGAACCTGCACAGAACCTGCACACTTTACAGCATGTGGGTCTCATCTATCAGAAAACGTTTTCTTCTGATCAATAGCCCACCCAGCACCCAGATCTGATCTGCCACCTCTGTGTGATTGAGGGAAATTGTGGGCTCGTGCTTTGAGTCTTTCCTCTTTCCAATGAACTTTCATGTACTTGGCTCCCAAACCTCATCACATCAATCAACGCACAGCCAATGGTGTTTTCATCACTGGGGTCTCTGCCTGATGATAGTGACCACTGGACACATCAGCAGCACATTAGCTTACCTCTCTGTGGCAGTTAGTAAGGCAGAATAATCTGTTGCAGGAATTCAACCAACCACCAATTCTCCAAGATTAATCCCCATTCAGAAGGTAACTGAGCTTTGACTTATTAATATGTTTTTCATTATTTGATTCTTTCCTAGAGTCTCCAAATGCTATGCCATGGAATATATAAACAGTAAAATGAATAAAGTCTGCCACTATACTTTAAATATCGATCATTTACAAAACCTACTGAAGACAGTAAAACAAAAATCTCTATAGACATTTATAGCCATAAAAATTATTACTGTAATAGCATAATTCCTTTATTGCAATCTATAGAAAATTTGGATTATGAGGTTACAAATGTAATTGGTTTATAGAAAATTGCTGAAAAATACTGCCAAGATGAACCAAAATTACTTGACCTTGCAACCGCAATACAATAGTTAGCACACAGACGTGAGTATAATACACTGTTTTCCTATTTCCACCTAGAAGCAATAGCACATATCAACAGGGTCATGGCAAGACAATCTGACTACAGCCAAAAAGCCTGGTGAGCAGCCTAGAGGAGTCTGTTTTAGAATCACGGAGATTAATCCATTTTTAACCGAGCGTTGAGTGGGTGGACGGCATCCCTGCTGGCTGGGGTGGGGGGGGGGCAGTTACGTTATACCACAACAACTGCTGCATATCCTCAGGCAGTGTCAGGCACGGGCAGCTGAAAGCTAAGGAATGCAGAGACCCTCTGCCTGGCCAGCCCCTTTAGCCTTGTCTGCCTGTTGTGGATCCAACACCTGGTGAGAAATGAAGGATTCAATGAAATGTAGCCCGTTAATACTGCCCCCTCTGCCAAAATGTTCAGCTTCTGCCTCACACCCCATAGCTCAGCTGTCACCTAAACCATACCTCCACCTGACCAATCGACATGCATCTCACAGTGCCGCAGGTCAGGATAAGGGTCTTGCTGAGATCACGACCACACAGAATTACACACACATGAAAATCACAGTGTCAGACACTACAGAGAAGACCGAGGTCTTGTTGTGGAGTTGAAATCCAAGACCCCCCCCCCCCCCCCCCCCAAAAAAAAAAAAAGGAATACGGCACCCGTCAGACATACACCATGCTGGTATTTTTCCTCACCATGTAAATTAAGCGACCTTACCTTCCCGAATGCTGAGCATCCAGCCAAAAACCTACCACAAATATCTGATAGAAGCCCAGTTCAGTGAGGACATGGAGCTGAATGGAAAGTGAGAGCAACTCTCAGTTTGAATAGTCTAGCTGCTCTCCGACATGCACCATCGCCCTGAAAAAGCCTTGCACCCAGGGTGTCTGAATGGCTGAATCCCTGCCCCCTGCGCTGGCTTTGCTGGCCATCGGCACCATAAATCAGCGCACACAAAGGGATACCTCCTCATTCTTCTCACCTCCTCTCCCTCGCTCTGTTTCCTGTTCCTGGATGTGATAGCTCCTTCGTCTTCCTGCCGGATTCCCGTTTTGCTCGTGTGCCAGCCTGTGTGTTAGTATTATTGATGCTCCTCTACTCATTCTCTCTCTCTCTCTCTCTCTCCCTCTCTCGCTTTCCCTCCCCCCTTCTTTCTCATGCTCTGGCTCCCTCCCCCATCTCACTCCCATCTCAGTGCTTCTGATTGGGACTGGGCAGTTTAGCTCACAGACAGAGCATCGCACAGACGATAATGTGATGCACACAAGCTGATGAATGAATGTTGGTCCAGCCAGCAGCTTCAAGCCGTAGAGTGCCAGTCACACGTGCAGACAGGCAGATGGGCAGGCAGGCAGATGGACAGGCAGGCAGACGGATAGGCAGGCAGGCAGATGGACAGGCAGGCAGACAAACAGGCAGACGGATAAGCAGACAGATAGACAGATGGATAGGCAAGCAGGCAAGGAGGCAAGTGGACAGGCAGGCAGATATGCAGGTAGGCATCCCTGCATGGCCTTTACTCCACATAAGTAACCTGCAAAAATTAAGATTTGTGCTGCTTTCGTTTTAAAGATAATAGCTATTATTACAATTACGTAACCTAGCCCCCCTACAAAGGTGTTCGGACGTGAAACCGGGCTCGTTCGTTAGTGCTGCGTTTGTGCTCTTTTGTGCTGCAAAAATCGTAGTTCTCTTTTATAGTTTTTGAGATATTATTATTTACACAGATCACCAAAAGTTCAGCCAGCCCCCCTACAAAGGCGTTCATACGTGAAACCGGGCTCGTTCGTTAGTACAGCGTTTGTGCCACAAAAATCGTAGTTGAATCAGTTTAACAATTTTTGAGATATTACTGATTATTTACACAGGTCACCAAAAGTTTACCCAGCTCCACTAAAATAACGTTTGGACGTACCCAGTCAGCACAAGTACGTCTGCGCTACGTCCTTGAAACGTTTTTTGAAAGGTCGGTATCTAGTACCATTTCAGGCGTTTGCATATTGGCCCTACGTAGCGGCATTGAAACAGCTCCGTCCAGGCGATGTAATCGCGACGTTTTCCGCCTATGAATGCCAATAATTATTTCTACATTTGCTTGTTGTTGAACACGTATTGATAATAATATATTTTATGTATAATATATAAAATATAAAGGTGTTTGTTAAAAGTTTTTATTTTAAAAAACTAACAAAATATAAAATGCACACGTTACAAAAATTAAAAATACAGAAAAATAAAAATACTGAAAGAAAACTATCGGACAGGCCTGGTCAGCCTGTCACAAGCCACTCTTTGATGGTTGTTTCAGCTTCAGCCTCATTTGGACTAGACACCAGTGGGTTTCGTAATGCAGACTCTAAAAAACAGAATAGACACAATTCACTTACATTAGACCTTATAAAATGGTAAATGTGAAATCATGAACAGGTGAGTTTATTGTTATTCCTTTACATTGTGATTGTTCACTTTTTATCTGCAGTCTGAAAAAAAGCTACTTTGGGCATTGAAACCAATGATAACTATGGGAAAGAATTATGTAACGTGTATGGGGCGGCGGCGCGTGAACAACGCGAGGCTCAGTGTCTCTCCAGAATCTGCTATTTAGCGGTTTTTTATCTACTTTTGACCGGATTATTTATCCAGAATTGCTGTGCATTGCTGACTTACAGCAGACAAGAACTTCTGGACATTTGGACTCATAATGCCAACAGTTTTATCGCCGATCTCCGACTCACCCCAGAGATCTCCAGAAAACCGGAGGCTGCCCACTCTCCCCGGCTGGGCGGAAGTGCACGCAGGCGGCGCCGAGATCGTAGACAAAGGCAAGGTAGGCACGGAGGGCTACGAGCTAGACTGAAGATAACACCACACCGGCTGCCATTACCCAGCATTTTCGTCGCCAATGTCCGTTCTCTGGCAAACAAAATGGATGAGATACGGCTCTCCATCACCAACAACAGAAGGATTATGGACTCAAATGTCATGGTTTTTACGGAAACATGGTTGAAAAACAGCTGCCCTGACAATGCTATTGAATTAGCAGGACGCCACACACACCGAGCCGACAGGCTAGCAGACGACTCCGGCAAGACCAGAGGTGGAGGTTTGTGCATTTAT